TTCTAAAAAATCTTACACAAAGAACAATATTGTACAATTTATTAGTCTCATATAAAACTACTTTTATACAAGAGTTATATATTTTTATAAAATGAAAAATACTGCAATATAATATTACGTATTAAGAAAGTAAGCACACAGTCTCACAGAATACTAGCACAGAGTAAATAGTAAGGACATACTAGCGTAAAATAGCAGCTTACCGCTGCTGTGTTTGGTATTGTGAGTGTAGAGAACAGACCCTTTCTACTGAAAGCGAGGCATTCCATCTTAGTCCTCAGGGGTGACAACGCATCTGCATTTTGATTCTTAATCGAGCATAAATGTAGATGTCTAAGTGCCACAGCATCCACTTACCATCAGGCGGACTGTGTCCTCGTTTGTTACTCTATCCTATAAAAAAAAGAAAGTAAGTTTAAAGTAGTAATAATAATCTGTCATTATAGACAGCTATTTGTTTTTATTAGCTTTTCCCCTGACTTTCCTTGCATAGTATTCAGAAGGTTGGAAAGTTTGAAGGTGAGAGTAGGTATGCTTTGACACGGTCGGATTATAGGCTAATTTAAATAATCCTAATCTATAGTATATACTGAAAATTTCGGGAATCAAGGAAGTGACACAACATTACTATTTAAAAATGTATTTATTGCTTTTCGAAGTATTCTCCGCGAAATTTGACACATTTTTCCATACGATAGAACCAATCATTGAAGCAACCATTCCATTCGGAATTTGGAGTCTCCAAAATGGCCGTTTTGTAGGCGTCCACAGCTTCTTCAGGTGATGAAAATCTCTGTCCACGCAATTTATTCTTTATTTTAAGGAAAGTATAGAAATCATTAGGGCTTAGGTCGGGGCTGTACAGCGGATGGTCTAATAATTCTATGTTTTCTTGCTCTAAAAACTCTTTTGTTCTGTGTGTGGTGTGAGAACTCGCATTGTCGTGATGGAGGATGATGCGGCGGTTGCAGTTCTCTTTACGGAGTTCAGAAACGACCTGTGGCAAACAAATGCTAGCATACCATTCTGCATTAACCGTTCTTTGTCCCTCAAGAGGAATAGTCGTAACATGGCCGGTTTTGGAGACAAACGTGGCCACCATTTTTTTGCAACACTCCGTGAACGAACAATTTTTGTTGGCTTTAACTCATTTTCGAACACCCAAACTCGTGACTGGTTTTTTGTTTAGATTTCGTACGCGTATATCCAGGAGTCGTCACCTGATACGATGTTGTATACAGCATTTGAAATCCTGTGTGGAATCTTTCGAGAGTTCTGACGCACCAAGTAAGGCGAGCCGCTTTTTGCTCTTCACAGAGCGAATGCGGTATCCATCGAGAATTTTCGACCGCTCAGACCCGTCCAACTTCATGGAAGACAGCTTTGGTCCACCCGATCCCTAAAAAAGGCGACTGCTCAGACCCGTCCAACTACAGGCCTATTGCCATCACCTCTTTGTTCTACAAAATAATGGAATCCATTATAAACTGAGACTGATCCAGCTCATGAGGTACCTTGAGGATCACCAGCTGATTAGTGACCGCCAATACGGTTTTCGTCGAGGTCGATCAGCTGGTGATCTTCTAATCTATCTGACTCATAGATGGGCGGAGGCAGTAGAGTCCAAGGGGGAGGCATTGGCCGTTAGTTTGGACATAGCGAAGGCCTTCGATCGGGTCTGGCACAAAGCGTATCTTTCGAAGCTTCCTTCCTATGGGCTTCCCGAGAAATTGTGCAAATGGATCACCAGTTTCCTTGCTGATCGGAGCGTCAAGGTCGTAGTAGACGGTGCATGCTCTGATTTCAAGCCTATCAACGCTGGTGTTCCACAAGGCTGCGTGCTATCACCAACGCTGTTTCTCCTGCATATCAATGATATGTTGCTAACTGGTAGCATTCATTGCTATGTGGACGACAGCACTGGTGATGCCTTATATACCGGCCGTGCCAATATTTCTCGAGAAAACGTCGCTGAGTACCGGGACAAACTTGTATCTGAAGTCGAGTCTTTGCTTAACAAAGTCTCGGATTGGGGCCGACTAAATCTAGTCCAAGACACAAGTTTGCGCATTTACCGCCAAAAAGAACCCCTTTGTCGTATCTCCTCAGTTTCAAGGCACTCCCCTTGTTGCCTCAGCTAGTATCGGAATCCTTGGCGTCGACATATCGAATAGTGTGCAGTTTCGTGGTCACTTGGAAGGGAAGGCCAAATTGGCCTCTAAAAAGCTTGGCGTGCTCAGCAGAGCGAGACGGTATTTCATGCCGGCACATCGCTTGCAACTTTACAAAGCGCAAGTTCGGCCCTACATGGAATACTATTCTAATCTCTGGGCCGGGGCACCCCAGTGCCAGCTCCTTCCACTTGACCGCATCCAGCGCAGAGCGGTTCGAATCGTCGACGACCGAGTTCTTTCTGATCGGCTCGATACACTGGCACTGCGTAGAGATGTTGCATCTCTTTGCGTATTTTATCGCATCTATCACGGGGAGTGCTCTGAGGAATTGTTCGTACTAATTCCAGCCGCTCAATTTCACCATCGCACATCACGACAAAACTGACGTTACCATCCATACCATCTGGATGATTGGCGGTCCACCACTGTGCGATTTAGAAGAAGTTTTCTCCCTCGCACAACTTCCTTGTGGAATTAATCACCACCAGCAAATTTTCCGGACCGATACGACTTAGGAACCTTCAAGAAAAGAGGTTACACCTTTCTAAAAGGCCGGCAACGCATCTGCAATTCCCCTGGTGTTGCGGTTGTTCATGGGCGGCGGTAGTCACTTACCATCAGGTGAGCCGTATGCTCGTTTGCCCCCTCTTCTATAAAAAAAAAAAAACTTTTTTACACCTAATTGTTCCTGCAAGATTATTTGTATTTGACTCATGCCAATGTCTAAAGTTGCCTGAATTTCGCGGTATGTCACATGTCGATCTTCCTCAATCAGCTTACGCATAGCATCAACGTTTTCTTGGGTGACTGCAGTTTTTGGACGACCTTGACGGGGATCATCACTGAGATTGACACGTCCACGTTGAAATTCAGCAAACCAGCGATAAATTGTGGTTTTGTATGGGGCTTCATCACCAAATGCAGAAATCATCCGGTCAACACACTGTTTTTGTGTTAAACCACTTCGAAAGTCATAATAAATCATCGCTCTTGAATTTTCTCGAGTCAATTCCATTTTCTCAACAACTAAACAAGTTTGACAAAACCTTGTGACCAGACCGAGAATCTTTTTTTAAATAAATAAATAGTATTCGATTTTTAAAACCAAGGGGTTTTCAATTAAAAAGATGTTAATATGACAGGAACAGTGGAAATATTCCATTCCCGATACTTTTAGTGCAGCCTATGTATAGGTATAAATAAAATAATAGAGGCTTGCAGTTGTTCGCGCATCATGGAAAAGCTAGTGGATAGATTTCAATTAGGTTCACTAAGTTATATTTCTTAGACACTAGGCCCTTATCTAAAAAATATTGCGATATATTTATTTAATATAAAGTTATTAAAGTTTTAAGATAAAACGATTTTTATAAGCACTATGTGTTCAGGGATTTGTGTAAGTAACGCGGACGAAGTTGCGGTTATCAGCTAGTTTGTAATAAATAAATAAAAACATGTTATTATGAGTATAATTTTACTTATATAAGATAAGTAAAAAGCAACAAAATATACATAAACATGTAAATATTTTGTTATTGATAGCGCTATTATCGGTGCAAAGACAAATCATAGTTCATAATACATCGAAGAATTAAAGCTCCAAAGGGCTATTTGGGGAAATCACTTTATTCTTTTTGTTTTTGAAGCCAGTTTTTCTTTCTAATTTTGGTATCGCTGATATCAAGGTTAAGAAAAAATATCTCGTGAGATCAGAAGAATTACGTTTTATGCATTTAATGCAAATAGTGTTATAGTGCTGCTTGAAAACAAAATTGTGAGATTGATTTTGAGATTAGGTAAGCAATTTTTTATCGAGTTTATTAAGACATGGTGAACAACCTTCACGCTTGGCGGTCGATGGAGCTAGACAGTTTTTTTACCTCGTGCATCATTGTTGAAGTAGAAACAGTACATGCATAGATGAACACAATATTTCTGGTAGTGTGAAATAAGAGCTACGGCTAATATCTTCAAAAGCAAACGTGTTACATCTATTGTTAGTTCTACTGATATTCGCTCTATATACGACCGTAGAAATTATTATAACAATTTCCACATTTATATTCCAAATATTATATATATATTCACAAAATAGGCAAAGTTAGTAGCTATTGTATTTAACAAATAAAAAATAATAGTATATATAAAATAAATAAAACTTTGTTTTTGGAACTCGGTTAAAAACCTCAAGCGCCTCCGCTTTTATTTATAATAATTAAATCAAAAACTATTTCGAAGTTCATAGCTAATATGTATGTAGCTAATATCTATTTTCATATGCAGGCTATTGCTGCAATTGAAGTTGAACATAATATATAAATGTATGTAAATAATAGGTTGCTAAAATTTACGGCTGCGCTACAAGCAGGGCTTAAATACCAGTTCAAAATTACGGTTTCGTTCTTCATTAAGGTTTTAAAAAAGGTTAAAACCTTATTAAAAAAAATTTCATTACGGTTCTCATTATTGTTCCAGTTAAGGTCGGTAAGATCGGGATAAGGTGTAGATACCGATTTCAAAATACGGATTTTTTTTAATTTAGCAAGTTGAAGGGAAAAGTCTTCGTGGCGTTGTAGTTTATAATATATACATACATAAATATCTTACAATATCAATCCTAATATGTTGAAAAAACATTTATTTATATACGCGTAAGTATATATATTTTATATACGTTCGTTTACAGACCGTATTCGTTTCCTTATCGGTATTTTTTGAACCTTTACAGTTCTTATTATTTCCCAACAAGACCTGCAATAGCCTCAACTATACATCGCCACAATTAACTTCAAAAGGATTTTGATTAACGTGATATTTTATTTACAGGGACTACGTCCATCATCGGTCTCTCCGACGTGACGGAGAACAAACTGATCTGGCGGCAAGTGGTGGCGGAGCTGGTAGGGACGTTCCTGCTAACATCTATCGGTGTGGCATCCTGCATTGCCATCACAGAATCCAAAGCACCACAGGTGACAAGCATCGCGCTCTGCTTCGGACTGTTGGTCGGCTCTATAGTGCAGGTTAGTCAATGCTAGTTATCTACACCTTTTAAAACTTTCTATCAAAAAATTGTGCCAAGTGTAAGTTTAAAAAAAGAATTTTCCAGAATTTCAAAACGCTTTTATGCGATTTCATCAAGTTTGATATGTTATTGTAACGATCAAGTGGATCAGTCAGTCTATGTTTAGAACCCAAAGAAAAGACGATATTAATAAAAATGTGTCAAAACATGACTAAGCGAAGTTATGGGTGACATTGAAGAATTATAAATTTTTGAAAAACTGCTATTATTATTATTTAAGCTAATAGATTTACACTTACAGTGTTATACATATTTATGTGAGAACACAGTGCGTATGTTAATAGGATAATAAACGTCTTAAAATTAATTTAAAGTATTGACATTACCTGTTTAGTGTTAATAATGTGGTTTGTATTGAATATATTGCCTTCAAGTTGATTTAGAAGTAAATAACACAACATTTCCTTACTTCGAGCCTTTGTATCACTGGGGATGAACACTAGCCCAAAGTTTCATAGTATACGCGAGCAAACTGATATCGATTTTCGCCAGTTACAAATAAATTGTTAATTGCAATATTACGTGTTGATTAACTTGCAATTTACCGTGTAGAGGCGGTGTTAGATTATCCACTACTCATTGCCTCCCGTGGGTGTCGTAACAGGCGACAGAGGGAAACAAATCAGGAGATGGTCAACAGCGTCTTTCTAATAACGACTAAAAATAAGAAACTGTTGTTGCCAACCCGCTTACCAAGGGTGGTAACTATGGCAAATATCCCCCCATATGAGGCAATATATGGGGGAGGTCTATGTTCAAGTTCTCGGCAGTGAAGGAAAAGTAAACCTATATGTCTGAGATATTTGAAAACTTCAAAGGCCCGATATGGATTCCTCTGCTCCAAAACCCTCTTAGTCCGTACACAGACTAAGATGTACAGGTTTATGTATATTAAACTTTATTTTACATACTTACGCTTTAATCTCTGCATATTTTTTTAAAATGAGTACATACTTTTACTATATACGAGCTTGGTACCCGGCGCGTTGCCGCCGCAGAAGAAATAAGAAAAAAGAAAAAGAAAAATCGTTTCAAATTTGGAACAGTTATATTGTTTAATTAGGAATGATAATACATTCATTCACATTGAATTATATATAACTTTCAAATAAATTTGTTATTACGATACGTGCGCCACCTACTGTAACTGTACTGTAAGTTAATTCCACTATGCCTATAACCATCGCGCAAGTGCAAGCAATAAATTGACAAAGTTTCACCCATAGGAATACTAACGCAATCTGATGAACGGTATGACAGCATATAGAATACGAACAAACAAAAATTATTTTTTTATATATTAGATAAATATTAAAAGATTTATCATAATTAATTGCATTATTATTGCCGTAAACAATTAGCAATTTGTTTAGTCAAAATATCCGTTATTAGATACAATATCCACGCTAAATTGATTTATAATAAAAGGAAATGTTATTAATGATAGCACTGAGGTATTAAAATAAAGTTCCGCAACATATGATTTTAAACGAGCAACAGGCATAACAGAATAATCTTAAAACGATAGGTTTAAAGATTTTTAACGGGGTGCACGCGAGAACAGCTCAGGATAATGCTTTGTGGTGTTTTTTGAGGAGGTCTAGCAGTATATTTGGAAAGGTTTTTATGATGATGATGAAGGGAGAATATGCAATTTTGTTCCCTAAATGCCAAACTTACCATATAGAGATATTACCTACACATAAAGCACACTAGAAAGCAACATTGCGGGAGTATCAGCTCTGTGCTCTTTACTTATTTTATAGAAAAAAGGTGACATACAAGCACACAGTCAACGTGACGGTGGGTGAATGTCGTAGCACACCCACATAATATATCCTCGTCCTCGACTAAGTATGAAATGAAAATGCGTTGTCACCCTTGAGGACTAAAATAGAATGGCTCGTTACCAGCAAAAGGTTTTTTTTATAGGATATGGTGACAAACGAGCACACAGTCCACCTGATGGTAAGTGGTTGCTGTGGCCCATAGACATCTACATTTATCCTCGTTTGCCAATCAAAATGCAGATGCGTTGTCACCCGTGAGAACTAAGATGGAATGCCTCTTTTCCAGTAAAATTCTGTAATCTCACCATACGAAACACCACAGAATTAAGCCGTATTCTGTGAGAACCTGGTCCTTTCTCGGTCGGGCCGACACATTCGTGCTGCAATCATATCTGCTGCTATATTATAGCAAAAGCGTGGCTCTACTACGTAATAGACTATTGAAGTAGAGAAGAGGCACTTTGTTGATACATTGACAAATAATACACGGAGATAGGATTCAAGATACTTTATCTAGTAAAACGATAACCAAACGAAAGCGAAGATCGTAGAAAATTTATTATTTATGAACAACAGATAGTACAACAATATTTGTTGTTAGGTTTCTGGTAATCATAGTATTATTTTTTAATATTTTATTCATTCAATTGTTTATTTTTCACATGAACAATATGCATTATGTCAGGAAGAGGAAAATAAAAAATAATAAACTTACGTATAACTAAAATAAGTAATCAAATGAACATTTTTAGCTTAATACAATAATTTTCTCTTGAAGTTAGAAAAAGTAAGGTGTTAAAAAATGCTCATAAAACTTATAAAAACGTAGATATAAAATTCGTACCAAAATACATAGATATTTATTTTCTGTTCTCCAATATTAAATCTAACCTGTACGATCTAACTAAAAAAACTATCTGATCTAATCTGTCAATAGACGATTGTGTTCATTTGTTACATATATAGTGACAAAACTGATTTATGTAATAGGTACCAGGAAAACATAAGTAGGTACCTAATATTATCAAATTTAAAAATAGTTCCCTAAGGCGCTCTTATATTTATCTAATACACATCAGCCTTAGAAGATAATAAATCGTATGATAACAATAACAATCGCACTGAGTGGCTTACAATAGCGCTCAATAGGCCAGTTGTGTCAAAGTCCGGCTATTCCCACGCGGTTGGCGGTCGCGGACCTGACCACTCATGTGTAAAATCTATTTACATGCGCTTGGTTCAATAGTATTAAGTGGTCAATATGCAAAACGGAGTTTAAACAAACCTTGACCTACGAATGCTAATGAATCCTTTCTTATTACACGAATAGGACGTTTTATATTATTATTGTAATATAATATTTTATTCTTAACTGTATTTAGTCTTTAATCGATATATGAATATATTAGCAATGAATTGCTTTAATCAAACGTGTAAATATATAAAGCGGTGATGTAAACAATACTGAATCATGTTTTACTTTGCGATTGGTGTATGTATGTCTAATTTAACTAATATATTACCGTTATTAATAATTGTGGTATTATTATTATTATCCTATGATTTAAATAGTTTTATATTTGAGAAAGAACGATGCATCATATTTTTCGCCTGTTATTTTCGTAATATAAATTTTATGTTTTCCTATGCTATTGTACTATAGAACAAGAAAAATATTTTAAAAGTGCTTATGTAAGAAATCGATAGCTGTCGTTATAAATTAAAATAAACAATTTTCGCTTCGTCTAACACAGAAATATTCTATGTTGATGCTTTTAAAATATTAACAAGCCATCGAAGAGTGTAATCGAGTATTGAGAGGTCACGTATATGGTAACAGCGTGTCACGCCTAGCCCTGGACATTGCGCAAATTGATCGAATATATGATATATCAGCAACGTATGTAATTATAATATACGGTCGTATAATTAATTTGTGTATCACAGATCTAAAAATAGGATTAACATTTCAATTTAGATTTATAATATGCTCAGTGTGCGTTTCATCGTTCAAGTATGTTGCAACTTAATTATACATATCGTATCGTTTAGGTTTATATAGATAGTATCGTTATATGATATATTTTTCATTTCATTTTATTTCATTATAGCCCTTTACAAGTCCACTGATGAACATTAGCCTCCCCCAAGGAATGCTACAAAGCACGGTGCCGAGCCACCTGCATCCATTGACTTTCTGCATGTCTTACCAGGTCCTCACTCCATCTAGTGGTGGGTGCCCTACACTTCGCCTGCCGGTACGAGGCTGCCACTCGAGAACCTATCTTCCCTATCGGTTGTAGGTTCTTCGAGCTATATGTCCGGCCCGTTGCCACTTCAATTTACTAATCTGTTGGGCTATCTTGGTTACTCTGGTTCTGCTATATCCTCATTCAACACGCAGAGAATCCCCGAGCATAGCCCTCTCCATAGCTCGCTGAGCGACCTTGAGCTTCCTCATACGGCCAGCAGTGAAGGATCTTGGCTAATATATATTTAGACGCATATAATATATATTTATTGCGATAACTTAGATTAGTACTTTCCGATGTATCGTATAGATTCTGTGATGATAGTGCCGGTAGCCAGTTTGCTTTTACACGTTCATCGGACTCATGGGTCTATGATATATAACTAGCTATATTTCGACGAGTAGTGGCGAAGTAAAAACATCCCCTACCACATTTTATTCTGTGGGTGTCGTGAGAAGTGATATAGGGAAACTGAAACAGGATTTGGGCATCAGCTGCAGGATATGAGCAGGATGACAACTGAAAATAATAAAAAACTGCGGTTACCAACCGTCTTAGCAAGCGGGGCAACTATGGATAAATTCCGCCTTTTAGGCAATATATGGTGGAGGCCTTTATTCAGCAGTGATAGGCTGTTATGAATCAATGAATTAAAAATTAGTACATACTATAATGAGGGCTAATAATTTTCTGCTCACCAGATGTCGCTAGTTGACACTGAGGTAAAGGTTTTTTGTTACACAATGCAATTTAATTGATAAGTCGTTTTTTTAATAAAAGTTTATCAGTTTCTACAGTATTATATTAATACACAAAACGATAAGGTGAGGATATCCGCAGTAGAACCAGAGTAACCGACATAGCCCAACGGATTAGTAAGCTGAAGTGGCAGTGGG